GGTAGAAGAGGGGGTTGTTAATCAGTTTCAGCTGCTTTGGTGTTAAATTGACAGCAGGTGCACTAGATGGGCAACAATGAGACGATCCCCAAAACAGGAATGGATTTACAGGTGGAGGCCAAAGACATTTTTTTCCTTACTCATCTTCTCTGACTGTTTTTCACTAGTTTTGTATTTGGTTAGGATCAGTGTCACTACTGGTAGAATGAGGCAATACCTGGACCCTACAGATGTTGCACAGGCAGATTCAATTCCTCCAGGATGGCACATCAATACGTGCCATTGCCAGAAGGTTTGCTGGGTCTCCCAGCACAGTCTCAAGAGCATGGAGGAGATTCCAGGAGACAGGCAGTTACTCTAGGAGAGCTGGACAGGGCCGTAGAAGGTCCTTAACCCTCCTTTGTGCAAGGAGGAACAGGAAGAGCACTGCCAGAGCCCTACAAAATGACCTCCAGCAGGCCACTGGTGTGAATGTCTCTGACCAAACAATAAGAATTTGACTTCATAAGGGTGGCCTAAGGGGGCGACGTCCTCTAGTGGGCCCTGTGCTCACTGCCAGCACCATAGAGCTTGATTGGCATTTGGCATTGAACACCAGAATTGGCAGGTCCACCACTGGCACCCTGTGCTTTTCACAGATGAGATCAGGTTCACCCTGAGCACATGTGACAGACGTGAAAGTGTCTGGAGAAGCCATGGAGAATGTTATGCTGTCTGTAACATTGTTCAGCATGACCGTTTTGGTGATGGGTCAATGATGGTCTGGGGAGGCATATTCATGGAGGGACCCACAGACCTCTACAGGCCAGACAACGGCACCCTGACTGCCATTAGGTATCGGGATGAAATCCTTGGACCCATTGTCAGACCCTACGCTGGCACAGTGGGTCCTGGGTTCCTCCTGGTACACGACAATGCCCGGCCTCATGTGGCAAGAGTATGCAGACAGTTCCTGGAGAATGAGGGAATTGATACCACGCTTGCCTGATGTAAATCCAATAGAACACCTCTGGGATATCATGTGTCGGTCCAACCGATGTCACCAGGTTGCACCTCACACTGTCCAGGTACTCAGTGATGCCCTGGTAAAGATCTGAGAGGAAATCCCCCAGGACATCATCCATCGTCTCATTAGGAGTATGCCCTGGTGTTGTCAGGCATGCATACATGCACATGGGGGCCATACAAACTACTGAGGACCATTTTGAGTTGCTGCAATGAAATGTCAGCAAAATGGACTGGCCTGCTGCATCATTTTTTCACTTTGATTTTCGCGGTGTCTTTGAATTCAGTCCTCTGTAGGCTGATAATTTTCATTTCCATTAAACAATGGGGCATCCTTACGTTTCTAACACATTACCCCGTCCATATCAGTATAGATATCCAGCATGAGATTTTTCCCCATTGCGATCTGATGTGTTTTCAAAGTGTTCCTTTAATTTTTTTTGAGCAGTGTAGTAATGTAAGAAATAGTACTGCTTCAAATAATAGTCCTATAACAGGCACAAAAGACTAATATACTCACAAACCCCTTAACTGGATAGAAGCTAGAATATATAAAAGTAACTGGTGGAAGTGAAAGCTTCAATGTTAATCCATTTTATTTCTTCCAATAGGGCACTGCCTTCAACCCCACAATAAATGAAATAGACACCTCATGAACTTAGGCTCCCCTTCAGTAAATGATGGTGGTTAGAAATTTGTTCATTCAATTTTGCATCCTGCTCCTTTGAATTTTCTCAACACTGGTCGAAAAAATATAAGGGGACTTTTATTGGGAGTGCTGTCACCTTAAGCAAGCTGCTAGCAGGCTTTAGTAAGATTCAGCGCTAAAGATTTTCCCTGAAGACACTGATTACAAATAAAACCTGTAGAGGAAGATTGTCACTGGATGATGTCACTTCTGCTTACCAGAGTGTAAGTAGCTCTGGCTTCCTAGCAACTTTCGGAGTAGCAGCACTCCTGTTGACAATGGTTGAACGCCTGAGAGGCATAAGAGCATAAATAAAATATTTTTTCATGTTGCAGCAGTATTACTTAGTACCTACCGGTATGTCCCTGGTCTTAAAATTAATCTTTTGCCAGTGAAGAAGCTCACAAAACAAGCCAAAGTAATGACCTGCCAATATAACAGTTGTGCCACTTCAAAAGGGGATAGCTTAGGATACAATTACAGATGAACTGTATCAGCTGAACTGCAATTAAGTGGTTAATACTGCCAAGGAGGAAAAACATTCAAACTGCATTCACACATGGCACAGACGCCTTGGGCACAGAAGTCCTGACATTATATGGAAATTAACTGAGAATGACAATGCAAGCTGAATACAAAATAGTCCATGTGATCAAACAATGAAATGCACCAGCTGTATGAAAGGAAAAATGTCAAGAAAAGCCTTTCCAAAGCAGAGCCTGTAGACTTAACCCATTCAGATATTTGTGGTCCAATGGAAAAGATGACTCCAGGAAAGAAGAGGTATTTTCTCACTTTTGTAGATGATTACTCCAAGTATACTACACTATATATGTTACTCAACAAAAGTGAAGTACCAGAGAAACTTGAACAGTATATAGCTCAAGTAAGCAACAAATTTAGCAAAAAGATGAGTGTATTGCACACAGACAACGGAGTACAGTGAATCTCAAAAGGGATACATAATTCTACACCAAGACACAAACAAGGGAACCATCATTAGAAGTGTAATTGTCGATGAAACTTCAGTGTGTTCAAAAGTTCATGAACACAAACGCTTCAAACTGAAATACATTCCACATCAGTGTCACATGAAGATAAGCAACAAAGTAAAATAGAAATTAAAGTGTTACTAAACCCACAACAGTAAAATCAGTCTGTATGCAGTAAAGCATGCTTGTTGTACTCACTGAGGAACTTAAGGGGTTAATCCTCTGCATTTTGTGAAAAGGAGGTTTGATCCTGTCTTCTCTGATCCTCCCCTTCTTCCATGTTCCCCATTTCATCTCCTGACAGAACACAGCCTCAGGGACACTCTGCACATGCTCAGTTTGGTGTGTACTGCTGCAGAGTTTTTTCTTTTTCTTGGGAGAGTGCATGTGATCAGCACAGGGCCAATCAGCACGGTCCAGACAGACAGTCAGGGTTGTGCAATTTCATAGGGCAGTGAGAGAAGAATGAAATCGCCTCCTACAAGCTTTAACCAGTGTTCTGCTGGACACTGATAGAAGTCACAAGACTGCTCTAACTGCTGAGGAGAAAAGATATTTAGCACTTTATATTTACTAAAATAATTGCATTTTCATGTGTACTATGGGAGACCAGATATAGTGAATGCAGGGTCCTGGGTTTAGTAACACTTTAATGCAGACAATCCAAATAGTGTAAAAGAATAAACCAGGCTTCAGTCAGGAAATCCACCAAAAGCAATAAATGCATCCCAGTCAAACATCTGTCCTATACTACTCTCCTAGCATTAAAACCAGAGCCAGATTCATGGGATGAGATGCAAAGACTTCCAACCTCAATGAAAAAAGTGTATCAGAGCTGCTCATGAAGAGATGACATCTCTTAGTGAACTGAAACAGATTTATAGGACTCAGACCTGAAATGAGACTAATACAAGGGGCAGTTGTTGAGTGGGGGTGTTGGAATAAAGTGTTCATTTATTTTGTGCAACAAGTACATCAGTATTCAGTAGAGCTTTATTCTTCAAACAACAGATGGAAGTGTTTATACGTTTGTAGCTGCATCTATGGTAAAATCTATGTCTTTTCTCTGAATAAAAGTTTCCTGTATTCCTTGTTGCAGTGAAGTAGAAAAACACATGTTGACGGGGCACTGTCTGTAGGGCTTCACTGGAACTAAGGAGCTAATCCCAACCCCTGAAAAACAACCCCACACTATAATCCCCCTCCACCAAACTTTACACTTGGAACAATGCAGTCAGGCAAGTACCGTTCTCCTGGCAATCGCCAAACCCAGTCAACTCCATCAGATTGCCAGACAGAGAAGCGTGATTCGCCACTCCAGAGAACACGTCTCCACTGCTCTAGAGAGTCCAGTGGTGGCATGCTTTACACCACTGCATCCGCCACTTTGCATTGCACTTGGTGATGTAAGGCTTGGATGCAGCAGCTCGGCCATGGAAACCCATTCCATGAAGCTCTCTACACACTGTTGTTGTGCTAATCTGAAGGCCACATGAAGTTTGAAGATCTTTAGCAATTGACTCTGCAGACAGGTGGCGACTTCTATGCACTGTGCACTTCAGCATGCGCTGACCCCGCTCTGTCATTTTATGCGGCCTACCACTTGGTGGCTGAGTTGCTGTTGTTCCCAGTTGCTTCCACTTTGTTATAATACCACTAACAGTTGACCGTGGAATATTTAGTAGCAAGGAAATGTCACAGATGGACTTATTGCACAGGTGGCAACCTATCATGGTGCCATGCTTGAATTTGAGCTCCTGAGAGCGACCCATTCTTTCACAAATGTTTGTAGAAGCAGTCTGCATGCCTAGGTGCTTGATTTTATACACCTGTGGCCATGGAGGTGATTGGAACACCTGAGTCCAATGATTTGGAGGGCTGGCCCAATACTTTTGACAATATAGTGTATATATATTTATTGTATTAATTTATGTAGTGCTTTCACATAAAACATGGGATATATTTTAATTGGATATGTTTTACAACAGAAAGTAGAAAATATATTTTTTTCACAATTTTCTGTCTTTTTTCATTCATATAATAAAATAAACAATGATGATCAAATACCACCAAAAGAAAGCTCTATTTATGTGAAAAAAATACAAACATTTCCTTTGGGAACAGTGTTGTATGACCACACAAATGCCAGTTAAAGTAACGCAGTGCTGAATAGCAAAAAATGCCCTAGTTATGAAGGGGGTAAAACCTTCAGTGGTTAAACTCTTGGGCACACTATTTCTCCGGCTGACACCAATAATGAGACACTGCCTCCTATTGACACGAATAATATGACATTATTCTTTCTACTGACACCAATGAAGGGGCTCTATTCCTTCCACTGATACCAACAATGGGGCACTATTTCTCTTAATGACCCCAATGATGAGGCACTGTACCTTTCACTGACACCAATGATGGAACTCTATTCATTCCACTAATACCAACCATAGGGCACTATTTCCCCTCCCAGTAAGTACAGCAGTAGGTCATTTTTTTTTTACTCTTCCTACCCACCAACACTGGGGACACTTTCACTGACCAATGACATCGGGGCAATTTCTACTCCTACTGGCCACAGACTGGTCCTCTTGGGTCTGGAGGTCAATAAACCCTTTGTTTAAAAAGCTTGAGGACCCCCTACTTTGGATAAAAAGTAACACTCATTTTGTTAAGTCACTGTAACTATCAGGTTCTGTTAAATATGAAGGAAGTTGAGGCATCAGTGGTCAGGTACACAAGTATACTGTATTGTAAAGTTCTTTTTGTATGATGTTTAATGAGTAAAGAATGAAGAAGTGACTTGTTGTTGGAGGTCAACTCACAATCCCTGAATCTACAACAGTTAACAAAACCAAGTTAACGTCTTGTATCCTTTTATATACAGTGCCTTGAAAAAGTATTCATACCCCTTGAAATTTTCCACATTTTGTCGTGTTACAACCGAAAACGTAAATGTATTTTATTGGGATTTTATGTGTTAGACCAACACAAAGTTTCACATAATAGTGAAGTGGAAGGAAAATGATAAATGGTTTTCAAAATGTTTTACAAATAAATATCTTAAAAGTGTGGTGTGCATTTGTATTCAGCCCCCTGTACTCTGATACCCCTAAAATCTGAAATCTAGTGGAACCAATTGCCTTCAGAAGTCACCTAATTAATAAATAGAGTCCACCTGTGTGTAATTTAATCTCAGTATACATACAGCTGTTCTGTGAAGCCCTCAGAGGTTTGTTAGAAAATATTAGTGATCAAACAGCATTATGAAGGCCAAGGAACACACCAGACAGGTCAGGGATAAATTTGTGGATACATTTAAAGCAGGGTTAGTTTATAAAAAAAATCCCAAGCTTTGAAAATCTCTTGGAGCACTGTTCAATCCATCATCCGAAAATGGAAAGAGTATGGCACAACTGCAAACCTATCAAGTCATGGCCATCCACCTAAACTGACAGGCTGGGAAAGGAGAGCAATAATCAGAGACACAGCCAAGAGGCCCATGGTAGCTCTGGAGGAGCTGAAAAGATCCACAGCTCAGGTGGGAGAATCTGTCCACAGGACGATTATTAGCTGTGCAATCCACAATTCTGGCCTTTATGGAAGAGTGGCAAGAAGAAAGCCATTGTTGAAAGAAAGCCATAAGATGTCCCGTTTGCAGCTTGCGAGAAGCCATGTCGGGGACACAGCAAACATGTGGATGAAGGTGTTCTGGTCAGATGAGACCAAAATTGAGCTTTTTGGCCTAAAAGCAAAATGCTATGTGTGGCGGAAAACAAACACTGCACATCACCCAGAACACGCCGTCCACACCGTGAAACATGGTGGTGGTAGCATCATGTTGTGGAGAAGCTTTTATTCAGCATGGAATGGGAAGCTGGTCAGTGTTGATGGGAAGATGGATGGAGCCAGATACAGGGCAGTCGTAGAAGAAAACCTGTTAAGAGTCTGCAAAAGACTTGAGACTGGGGCGGAGGTTCACCTTCCAGCAGGACAACGACCCTAAAAATACAGCCAGAGCTACAATGGAATGGTTTACATCAAAGCATATTCATGTGTTAGAATGGTCCAGTCAAAGTCCAGACCAAAATCCAATTGAGAATCTGTGGCAAGACTTGAAAATTGCTGTTCACAGGCGCTCTCCATCCAATCTGACAGAGCTTTGCAAAGAAAAATGGGCAAAAATGCCCCTCTCTAGATGAGCAAAGCTGTAGACATCCCCAAAAAGAGTTGCAGCTGTAATTGCAGTGAAAGGTGGCTCTACAAAGTATTGATTCCGGGGGGCTGAATACAAATGCCGCCACACTTTTCAGATATTTATTTGTAAAAAATGTTGAAAACCATTTATCATTTTCCTTCCAATACACAATTATGTGCCACTTCATATTGGTTGATCACATAAAATCCCAATAAAATACATTTACGTTTTTGGTTGTAACATGACAAAATGTGGATAATTTCAAGGGGTATGAATACTTTTACAAGGCACTGTATTGATATCTCCCAACAAAAACAGCTTCATAGGCAGTTAAGATTCATATATGTGAACTATTTTTCCTGACAAACAATTTGTCACTTTGATCATCTTTTTTTGGGAACACCTGCAGAACTATATAGCTAGGAGATGGACAACACAATGACATACCACCAACTTTCTGAGATGGAAAGAGGGACATCTTTTGGCCTTGTTTACACTTGTGGTTGGGGGGGGGGGACAAAAAGTCAGTTGAGCCACACTTTTACACCCTCCAACAGCTCCCCCTTAAGCTACAGTGGAAGGGGGCTTACACATGTTGTGGCCAAGATGCTTTGCCTCACTGCAGAAATTATCCCCCTGTTGAGTTTGGCAGACAATACTTTCTACCGCATGAAACCCATTTACTTGAATAGGTCAACACCACAGTTGCCATGGTTGGCGCATAAGAGTGCAGATTTTTAGGGATTAAAACAGGTGAGATAAGGTCTCCCCACTACCTGTCAAACACCCTCTGAAGAGGGATCCACTCCAGGTTGCTCTTCAGAGTGCACCACAAGTGTAAACAACCCCTTTAGCACAAGGTATGTAGGCAGGGGACAGACTCCTGCCACATTTACAGTACATGGACAAAAAGTATTGGTCAAACCCATAAGTACCTTTTCACATCTACGTTTCCTTTATATGTGCTTTTAAGAAAATATATATGTCAGATAAGTGTAGAATAACACTTTTGAAAGTTAAATGTTGCATTTTTTTTTTACATAGGGCTATACATCAAAACAAAAAGAGGTACAACTGAGGGGGAAAATGGATAGAGGGATTTGGTTACCCTTGATTCACATATCCACGTTCCTGCAGTCCACATTTTGCACAGGCATGACAGCCCATTCATTTGAATGGACTCCCATGCCCCGGGACATGCAGGGAAGACGTCCCTGCACTTCTTCTGAAAACGCAGCCCACACGGGAGGTGGGGGGGGGGGGGGGGGAACCTCAGTTCTCAGTACGGTTGCGATTTCCAGTGCGGGCGGCGTGAAATTAGAATTAATGGCACCCGCCCGCCGGTCTGCATTTCTCTGTGAGGGTGGTGCGGCTGCACAGATTTTTGTGCAGATCCGCAGCAGAACCACCAGCACATATGTGAATCTAGCCTAACATAAGAGGAGTCCCTTTAAATCAGTGGTTCTCAACCTTTCTAACGCCGCGACCCCAAATACAGTTCCTCATGTTGTGGTGACCCCCAACCATAAAATTATTTTCGTTGCTACTTCAGAACTGTAATTTTGCAGTGGGAGGAATAGTGCCCCATCATTGGTATCAGTGGGAGGACTAGCGCCCCATCACTGATGTCAGTGGGAGGAATAGTGTCCCATCGTTGGTGTCAGTGGGAGGAATAGTGTCCCATCATTGGTATCAGTGGGGGGAGGAATAGTGTCCCATCGTTGTTGTCAGTGGGGGGAGGAATAGTGCCTATCATTGGTGTCAGTGGGGGGGGGAGGAATAGTGCCCCATCGTTGGTGTCAGTGGGGGGAGGAATAGTGCCCCATCGTTGGTGTCAGTGGGGGGAGGAATAGTGCCCCATCGTTGGTGTCAGTGGGGGGAGGAATAGTGCCTATCATTGGTGTCAGTGGGGGGGGGAAGAATAGTGCCCCATCGTTGGTGTCAGTGGGGGGAGGAATAGTGCCCCATCGTTGGTGTCAGTGGGGGGAGGAATAGTGCCCCATCGTTGGTGTCAGTGGGGGGAGGAATAGTGCCCCATCGTTGGTGTCAGTGGGGGGAGGAATAGTGCCCCATCGTTGGTGTCAGTGGGGGGAGGAATAGTGCCTATCATTGGTGCCAGTGGGAGGAATAGTGCCCCATCGTTGGTGTCAGTGGGAGGAACAGTGCCGCATCGTTGGTGTCAGTGGGAGGAATAGTGCCCCATCGTTGGTGTCAGTGGGGGGAGGAATAGTGCCTATCATTGGTGTCAGTGGGGGGAGGAATAGTGCCCCATCGTTGGTGGTCAGTGGGGGGAGGAATAGTGCCCCATCGTTGGTGTCAGTGGGGGGAGGAATAGTGCCCCATCGTTGGTGTCAGTGGGGGGAGGAATAGTGCCCCATCGTTGGTGTCAGTGGGGGGAGGAATAGTGCCCCATCGTTGGTGTCAGTGGGAGGAATAGTGCCCCATCGTTGGTGTCAGTGGGAGGAATAGTGCCCCATCGTTGGTGTCAGTGGGAGGAATAGTGCCCCATCGTTGGTGTCAGTGGGGGGAGGAATAGTGCCTATCATTGGTGTCAGTGGGGGGAGGAATAGTGCCCCATCGTTGGTGTCAGTGGGGGGAGGAATAGTGCCCCATCGTTGGTGTCAGTGGGGGGAGGAATAGTGCCCCATCGTTGGTGTCAGTGGGGGGAGGAATAGTGCCCCATCGTTGGTATTAGTGACACAAATGATGGGGCACTATTCCTCCCACTGACACCAATGATACTTACCTTGCTGACCCCTGCTCCAGCCTGGGCTCGCTCTCTCCCTCTCCCATCTACAGCCTGCAGAAGCAAAATTTGCACTTACCTGTCAGCTGTCTTCCTTCTCTGGCCTCTCTCCTCTTCACTCGGTCCTGCAGCTCCCTCGATCTTCTTCGATCTGCGCGCTCTGCCGCTCGGCTCCTCCTCTCCAAGCTCCACCTCCTCGCCGGTGATTGGCCGCCTGTGTGCCTCTCCTGAGCTACAGTTCCGGTGGCCAATCAGCGGCGAGGAGGCGGAGCTGTTGAGTGATCCCGGAGGTGTGGCCAGGTTACAGGGGCAGCATATCATCCCGCCCACAGATCGCGAGACAGAGCAGCGGTGTCTCGGTTCCTAAGACCATCGGAAATATGTGTTTTCCGATGGTCTTAGGCGACCCCTGGGAAATGGTCGTTCGACCCCCAAAGGGGTCGCGACCCCCAGGTTGAGAACCGCTGCTTTAAATCATGAACAGGTGGAGCTTAATAAAATCATCATCACTTTAGTGAACAGCTTGTCGGTATGCTGTGTGCCATCCAAGAATCTGAAGGTTTCATTTTCAATTTGAGCCTGAGCATACCTTTAAAGCAGGGGTTCTTAAAGGATAAGTTCAACTTTTGCCCAAAAATAATAAATGCACATTATTTGCAGGTTAAAAAATGTGTATTTATTATTTTTGCCTGCAGGAGCCTGTAAAGCATTGCACCACCATTCAGCAGATCACTGGTGCCATGCAAGTCTCCTGCAGACCTGTCAGCATATCTGCTTGCCCACATGGGATATTGACAAGAAGATTCAATGTACTACGGTGGCGCTCCACAGAACCGCGATAGTTAATTGAGAACTACAAGCTGACATCCGCTAAGGCTGTCGGGACGTGTAGTTCATTCATTCACAAAACTCTGTGAATGATCGATGCAGCCGTGTGGGCGGAGTCCCGCACGTCCAGGCTGTTTTTAAGTCTGACAACTAGTACGGGGGAACTTCTATGTGTGGAGGCGGCAGCGGGTGGTGACTGCAGCATTGGGAACTTGTTACATGTTCCACCCTAAAAACAGGTGGAACATGTAACATGTTCCCAAAAATGAATTTATCGTTTAATTTATTTTAATCTGAGGATCCAAATTTGAAACTAGCTATAGTGCTAGAAATGCACAATGGCATCAAAGCTACAGAAAGACAAATAACAATCATCATATATAGGTAGCAATACCCCCTTTAGGGTTGCTTAGTAATTTTTGGGTTCCCTATCAATCTGGACCTCTTGTTGAAAGCCCGACCTCTGCTGACACCACCGTGCTCTTGTGACCAAAATAAATCACAACTGTAAAATGGAGTCACACACAAGTTAGTATAAACCAATATGAAGTTTATATTGGAATTAACAGCAACTTGGTCAAAAAGAACAAAATGACACTGATATATGCAGCAAATATAGTCACTCTTGGCGATTTTGAGCAAAAGTAATGATATTCACAGAAAAGCAACAATAACAGTTAGCAGGTCTGCTCCACTCTGAGGGGACTGCTGAATCCCCAGTGAGCAGTAACAACTATCAAGAAACAAGTAAGTTCACTGTGTATCCTCAGAACTGGATGACAAGGATTGGATGTAAAACAATGAGAATTCTCATTGGAAATTGAGCAATGTCCCTTTAAGAGTACTACAGTGTCTTCTGCGTGCTTGTTGGGGCCCAGTTGGTATGAAGTTGAGTTGAGGTGTGAAATGTAGTTCCTCAGGGTGGCAACACAAAGATAGTGAGGGACGGGAAGATTTAACACTTTTCCTCTTGGTGGTAGTGAATTAGTGCAGGGTCCCCTTTAAAGCACTAAACATAGGGCAGGCTTGAAGTAATGAATAGCAACTATTGTCATAAGTGTCTATGGACAAAGACAACTCCCTCTGAATATTAGAGACAAAGTGAACATTATCATTGTCAATTGTCATTTTACTGATCATCTAATAAAACGTGGACTGTCTATCACAATCCACTACAGTAGGAATCCTGCTTTGTTGAAAAGGGAACTTGTTGTCTCAGTTGGCACTGCTGTATCCTGGCTTGCAACTGTATGTCCTGCAGTCAGCTTGTAATGCAGGTGTATCCCAACGATGGCGGCTGTGAAAACTAGGCCGCAAACTGGGGCAACTATATGTAATGTTCACAACTATGTGTAGGTAGATAGCTGAGATGGCAAACTGTCAGTATTCACTTGGTTAGCGGGTTAATGGGTCTCTCTCAACCAATCAAAGTGTTCATAGCAGTCTGTCTTTCTCTGCAGATGGAGTCAGTCCATGGACTCTCTGGCTTAGACTTGGGGTCCCATCTGGTCTTCTGCTGTCAGATTGACCTGCTGGGCAGCATGGCAGACAGGGGGGTCAATAGGCTCTTTCTGCTCTCTCTCTCTCTCTCTCCAACTCTGGCTCTGTGGCCTAGTTCAGCACTTCAGCTGTCATCACACATCCTTCTCCTTCAGTCTCTCCCTACACTCTCCTGGCCAAGCTCCCGGGCTTTGATATTTATATGCCCCCGCCCACACGCTACCCTTCTTGGGAAATATAGTCCTTGACCGCCCTGCTCACCAGCTGAACCCTGCTGTTCAGCATTCAAGTTCCAGAGGGCTGTTCTATCCATGTGAGTGACCCTGAATGGCAGACCACCACCATCTAAAGTCCATCTTAATGTATTGCAAGTAATAACATTTCAATGGGTTACACATACTAAAAAAACAAACAAAAAACAAAACAAAAACACAAACAGTAATTAATGAAGCTCAGTGTTCATAATATGTCATGGGGGCACAAGGACTGCAGATGAGGACCACTGTCAAAACTGATGGTATAAGGGCTAGCTACCTACCCACGACCATTGACTCTCAAGCTGATTCTGTCTCAAGTGACTTCCCCTTTCACAGTCAAAACACCTCACAATCTTATCTGGGTAATTGCCTCCAACCTTGACTAGTGCATGCTAGAGCTCCCCATACAAGTTGTGGTTGGACACCTAGTAAAGTGGTGATCCAGTTTTGGTTCCGACCCTTAGTTTGAGAAACTCTGCTTTAACCACTTGCCCTCCTGAGGATTTACCCCCCTTCCTAACCAGGCCATTTTTTGACTTACAGCGCTACGTTATTTTAACTGACAATTGCACAATCATGCAACGCTGCACCCAACTAAAATTATTTTTTCCCCACTAATTGAGCTTTCTTTTGGTGGTATTTGATCACGTGTGTTTGTTATTTTTTGTGCTATAAAAAAAAAGACCAACAATTTTGAGAAAAAAAACAATATTTCTGACTTTTTGCTATTAAACATGTCCAGTAAATAAAATTTTAAAAATCAAATTTCGTCATAAATTTAGGCCAAAATGTATTCTGCTACATTTCTTCGCTTAAAAAAAAAAACGTGTAAATTAAATGGTTTACGTGAAAGTTTTAGCGTTTACAAATGGCGGTATAGATACTGGAATTTTTTTTATTTTTATTTTTACTAGTAATGGCGGCAATAAGCGACTTAGAGCGGGACTCCAGGACTGTGGCAGACATTCTGACACTGGGGGGAACTGACTTGGTGTCACTGACATCCCCAGTGACACCACTATAGTGATCAGTGCTAAAATAAAGCACTGATACTGTACTAATGGCACTGGGCAGGAAGGGGTAAACATAAGGGTTAACTGTGTGCTGGCAGTGTTTTACTAGGGGGGGCGGTGTGTGTGCTTCACTGTAAGCACACTGGTTTGGATGGTTGTGCTGTTCAAAACAGTTCTCCTCCCTGTCGGAGATACTTGGAAATCCCCAGCCGGGACCCGTTGATTGACAGCTGCAGCCACCAACGGCGGCGCGGGTAGGGTGCGTGCGCTCCTACTCGGAAATGCAAAATCACGTATATATATATATGTGATTTTGCGCACCCAGGCCGCCCTGTAGCAGTATTTCTGCTATAGGGCGGTCAGGAAGCAGTTAAAATATAGTTGTCAATAGACATGGTTTTTAAGTACCTAAGGCCTAAACTTACTTTAGTTCTGGACAGGATGGGGAAAGGTTAGAATTCAGCTTTTTTTTCTGTATCCTGTGAGATTTCCTGTCCCATAGAAACAATAGAAGGTGATAGCTTATATCTTGCACACAGTAGGTGGTTTGCACCCAGATTTTTTCAGTAGATTTTCTTATCTGTGTCCCCACAGGGGAAATTCATCCTCTCTATTTGTCATGATGGCCATTGTCATTGAGGCAGAAAGTGTTTACAAATTCAAAACTTTGTTATTGGCATCGGAATCCGAGGCAAGGTGAAATCTTCCAATGGGGATACCAGTACCAGTGACAGTTGTCTCAAGGTTAATCCCCTTCACTGCTGGGTTTTCAGGAATGGAAGTAAAAAAAAAAAAACCAAAATGGGACATAGGTAGCAAATAAAAACCTCACCAGAGTTTTAAATAACACCTATCTTATCTAAAACCAAAAGTAAAACTTTTCTGGATATACTTTTCATTTTTACAGTAAAAATTGTGGAATACATTGATAACTGAATATTGAATACTTCAATAACAGAAACTGAAAACACGTTCATATGTTCATGTTCAATGTAGTAAAAATTCAATGTCAACTCTTTTTAATAAGTCCTTTAAATGTATGAAACCTGATGCTGTGTTAATTTACTGACGAAAAGGCTCAATTCTTCAAACAATTATAGTCATTGTGGCAAATAGTGATCATGATAGCTTAGTGTTTTGAAGGATAGGTTCCTCTCTCTCTCCTTTTATAGCGAAAAAAAATGTTTGTTGAAAAAAAAAAAAAAAGATAAATAAAAAAATATAACAAAATAAAATGAACAAAATAAAGAAGAAATACCTAGATCAAGGTTTGATCTAGTTCAGTGCCAGGGTTAGTGTTTGGGTCAAGGTCAGGGTCAAAGATCAGGATTTTTTTTTTTTATTGGTATCAGTATCAGTTAATGTCAGTGTCAGTATGTTTTAGGTAAAAAAAAACAAAAAGCAAAATGCTCACTATTGTCTCTGGGCTGTACTCCCCAGGTACAAACAA